TGAGAATCCACATCGTACTAAAATATATATATATATATATATATATATATATATATATATATATATATATATATATATATATATATTAAGTATATGGGGATAGACCCCTTTTTTTTAATGCATTTTCTTTTGTCAATTCTTTTGGCCCATTTATTACCTAAACTACGTCGTTTGGTTCCCTCCCACCAATCATTCCCTCCCACCAATCAGTTGTTCCTATTATTTTCTTTTCACTTTATTTCTAAAGCAGCTTGACCGCGACATGTGTGCTTAATTTTCTCTTTTCTTTTATTCTGCTTAATGCAAAACGACGCCGTTTACATCAGCCCCTCTCTTCCTTCTCTTCCCCGCCTATTATTGTTGACCCACTTTTTCCCTCTTCAACGTCGGCCACCGTCTCGCTCCATCCACAGGCGCAGGTTTCGAGGGACTCCAATCCTTTCAAGCCTTCTCAACATCCTTATCCTCTTCCGCACAAAGCCAGCACAAATTGCTGACTTCGGTCGGCAGATGCATCCGCTTTATGACCACCGCGCCGCCGCCTTGTTCGATGCTCCCACCGCCGCCGCTTGGTTTTATGCTCGCCGTTCCTTCAATCGATGCCCGCCACCAACGCCTGCTCCGCCGCGACGCCGCTTGGTTCGATGCTCGCCGTCCCTTCAATCGATGCCCCCCACCAACGCCTGCTCCGCCGCCGGCCGCCGCCGCTTGGTTCGATACTCCGCTTGGTTCGATGCTCGTGCTCGCTTCAATCAATTCCCAATGTCACTGCCACCGACTGCAGCTAATCTTGTCCCACTGTCCAACTTTACTTCCACCTCAATTCTCCACCAATTGCACTTCACCCTTTTTCGTGCACATCTAAAACCTCAATTTCCTCCCGCTGGCTCCCCTGTACCATCGTCTTCACAAAATTGTCCTCACCCCACACGATTTCCCCTCACCCCTCATCCCACACGATTTGTTCAGCGCCTGAGCCCAGGATCCATTTGCATAAAAATTTTCGTCGTCGGCGTTTGTTGCTGGTCCAGGTTTGTAGGCTGCTCTATTATAAATTACGAAAATTATTTATTCAGTTAGTAACACCAAATTATATTCACAGTTTGAAAAAGGGCAGCAATTTTTTTGTCTTTTTACCTTCCCGCGTCGCTGCTGCATTCAATCTGTTTTGCATCTTATTTATTCATACCTCACCTTCATTCTTTTCAGAATTCAACCAATCTTCTGCATTGTGCTGTTTGTGATTCCAGTAAACTATGTAGATTAAGTTTTTTATTTGATTATGAAATAATATGTTATTACTGTCTATTTTATGACTTGTCTATTTCTCCCTTTTTCTTCTACAATTTCCATGTCAATATTTTGGCAATTGTCAGTGATATTTTATCATTGATGTATAGTTTGTAGCTATTTGTGACCGAGTTCTCCGCCCGTGATTTAGTTCAACGAAGAAGGATTTTCCTTATATTATGTTTTTGCTGGAGCCCCAAATTCTTTGAACTGCTTACTCGTTTGAATGTCTAGCATTGTCATTCGCAGTCAAGAGGTAATATATTTATTTTCTTCTGAACGAGTTATTACATTTTTGGTTTCCACCGCGAATTACCTGCTAAATTTATTCCTCGTGCATAGCAAGTTCACCTGCATCCTGCATTTGATTATTTTTAATTATCCGATCCATCAAATTTTGCGGTGTTTGTTTATATCTTCATCATGCTTCTGTTCTTCATAATATGCTTTAGTAATTGTTTTTTAAATAGTAGTTTACTATCTTTCTGAAACTTGGACCGCCCGGCTTGCTGTGTATTTGTGTCATCCTGCACCTTTCTAATATGTGCCCACCATTGCCAGTTTGTATCGTTCCAAATTTCTTTGTCCATTTATTTGGGCTATCCTGAAATTTTTTTCTCGTCTTGTTTTAATGTTGCTTGACTGTGTTTTATGGTTTGTAGCATCTACTATTACTATGAGTGTTCCAGACAAAAGAGCAGCGCATAATGAGAAAGATCGTGCACGCTATGCAGCCATGAGTGCGGACACGAAATCCGCCTTACTTCTCAAGCAATGTAACCGCACGGCTGCGCTTCGTGCAAAATGACTTCACAGTTTTGAGGACAGCCATGGACTCCTCTTTGAATGTTTCTGGTATAATATATGTTTCTTCGCTTCTGTGGTTTATCATTACTTCTACGGGCCACCTCTATCTACCCACATACAATTTCTTGCCAACAAAAGTATTATATTGTTCCTGCCTTTTTTTTTTTTTCTCTGCCGATAGTACAGTAAAGTATTTAGGAATTACGTGCTTCGTCGTGAATTTGGAGCCGTATCCTTCAGGTCATAGATCTTCATATACAATATGTGCATAAACTTTTTTTATGCCTTATTTAGTAGGTGGTGCAGCATTTTTAGAGAATTACGAACAGACTGCGCGCGCGCTCATGAATCTAGAGGCGTTCCCTTCAGATCAATGACTTTCAGATGCAGCATGGCCTAATAATTTTTTTAATTATTTTTTCCTTCTCATGTAATTGTTGGTCAAGCATATTTAAAGATTTAGGAGCACAGACCCCATTATCTGACAACATTTTTACTTCTATTAAGAATACGAAAAAGATACATTCTAAATTAGTTATTATTTTTCTTACCTCAAAAATTGAATAGGATTTACCCTCTACGACCATTTTACAGAAAACGGATATCTTTTTTTTTTTTTTTTCATATTCTTTTATCAATAAATTTTTACTTAACCTTGTACCTGCATACTGAAACTTTCTTGGCTATCAGCTCTTGGAAGGTGACAACTTTCTTTGTCTAAATATTTCGGCCATCTTTTCCTGTTCCATATTTTGAATCTTATGTAGCTTGCGTATGCTGTCGTTTTTTTCTTTGCCTGGTATGTGTGTGCTCTCCTTTTTCTGCAATTTTTTGTCCCCTTCGTATACTTGGACTCCTTACTATAGCCCTTGAAGAAACGGAGTTTGACATGGGACGAGAACTCGCAGGGCTAATCGACATGTTTTCGGTCCAGTGTATTAATCACAATGTGGAGACTATTCTTGATCTCTCTGGTATTATCTCCCTCACTTATTACTATTATTATTTTTTATTTTATTTTAATTAATTTCTAATAGACGACGATTTAATGTGTAAATATCCTTTTACAGATGATATGCCGAAGATTGTTCGAGGAGATTCCGGTAGAGTTCTTCAAATCTTCGCGAATTTGATAAGCAATTCTATCAAATTCACTACCTGTAAGTAAAAATAATCCCAATGTAAAATATAGTATAAGATCAATTTGATTAAAAATAAATAAAATTGAAGTGTTCTGTTTATGACAGCTGGATACATTGTTCTGCGTGAATAGTGCGAGACGGTACTGAACACCGATAATAAGATGAAATGGAAACGCAAGAAAGATAACAAAATGATTATTTGGTTTGAAGTCGATGACACTGGTTGCGGTAATTATATATATATTATGTAACGAAAATTGATATAATAATAAAATCAAATGCCATTTTCGCAGGGATTGATCCTAACAAATGGGAATCGGTATTTGAAAGTTTCGAGCAGGCCGATCCTTCAACAACTCGACTGTACGTAGGCTGCATTGTAATTTATTAAGATTTATCTATTTTTGCTAAGAAAATGTAATATTGCGATTTGTTCTGTTATCTGCAGGCATGGTGGAACTGGTCTAGGCCTGTGCATTGTATGAACGTTGGTAAGTTAATACGATTAATTTTTTCTAATTTATTTAACGACACGAAATTTTGAAAAATTATGCATTGGTAAATAGGGCAATTCTCACTCCAAAAAATGACACTGTTGATTGGATTAATGACCTATTAATAGACCGATTCGCGGGACAGGTTAAAGAGTATATTAGTTTTAATAAAACAACCGATCAAGTGCAGCAAGCAGAGTATGAGGATTATCTCAATGGTGTTTCAGCCAGCGGCCTACCTTCGCATGTGTTACGTCTACAACAGCCGTTTAGACGGTAATAGTTAATTTCGTAAAATAGATGCTCTCTCGTGTTAGATTTTTTCGTCTCTTTTTAATCAATAAATTTCATGGTGTATTTAAACTTTATTGCTGTAGATTCAAAAGATCTTCGCCTGAAACTAACACGCAAGAGAACGTCAAAGCATATAGAGCTCGAAAACAAGAGGCGTAAAAAGATGGAACTACACGAGAAGGCATCAGGAGCTACACCACCTTCTAGAAGGGCTGCTGAAACACAACCGATAGGTTCAACGATTAAAAATTCTTATGCTTCTTGGAATTCAAATGCAGCGAAAACGAGATCCCCTGAAAGAATTCGAAATTTTCTGGTGGATTTTCTAACAACCCCATGAATTCTATTGGTCAACTGCCACATGTACCATCAATTAGGCCGATAGATGCTTCAAGAGAAGAGCATTTGTCGATGAGGGATGTCTTGGAATCTTCTAGGCCTGATTTACCTATATTCACCACTTCGAGAGGTTTTCTGGATAATGGCAAGATGGTCACCGATCTTCCTCCAGCAACAGGTGGCATGTCCAGACCTATTTACCCGGGTAAAAATCTATTTTCTCTCATAATTCGTTTACCTCGACGACTCTGTTTTTGTTTAGCTCTGTTTTGGTGATTTTTTTCCTTATTTTAAGATCATGCATTGTTGAAGCAGGTGAAAGCGATAAGGCAACTACAACTTAGAAAATTGAGGCGTGTGGCAAACAAGCAAATGTGCAGCAAACCTCTGTAGCTGAATTTATGGTTTGTGTTTCCTTTGCACAATTTTTCTTTTTACCTTTAATCAAATGAGGTCTGCTATCGATTGTTTAGTTTATGCTACGATTCTCGACTGGCATTCCAACTAATAAATATAAACACTTTCATTGCAGATCTGCTTGTGGGGTCTCGTGTGCTGATCATATCAATAAGTTAACCTCATTTTACGTAGTCTGGTAAAACATATTAGAATTCAGCTATGTTCTATGATTCCATGTTCTCTTCTGTATGAAAAAATGATGCTTGTTTATTTAGTACAGGTTGATACTTTTGAATTTTTTTTATTAGGTTCAAGTGTATCATGTTGTATCACTGTTATTATTAGCTGCAACAATAAAAGGTTTCTGATAGTTATGTGAGTATTAGTTTCTTTGATTTTAAGCACATTAAAAGTGACATCTTGGCTAGGTTAATCTCATTTTACACTTCTAATTCTATAATAAAATATAAGGACTTCACTAATTTGTTTAGGTATGTAGTTGTTTTCTTTATTTATTAATATGATATGACTATATATATACCTAGCCTCTTTTGTCAGTGTTGCGACTCTATTCTATAAATTCATTATTTTGTTTTTTCAATTTTGCATTGTTTTCTCTGGGAATCCGAGTTTCAATCATGTACATGAGTTAGGTTATCTATGTATAAGTTTGATTATATTGGTTTATAGGTGGTAATCTGGGTACATGTGGTTGCCTTGTATTATGATTTTTCAGAATTGTGGCCTTTGCTTCTAGGTTTATCAGTTCCGCTCTTTTTCTGTGTTTACATTTATTACAGCAATATTCATTTTTTATTAAATCGTTTGCTTCCATAATTTGGTTTTAAATTCTGATAACGGCGTTCTGCGCAGGCCTTTGTGTGAGCATCATTATTCAATCACTCAACAATTCGCGAGGGGGTGTTCTTCACGGGGCGCACAAAGCCGGACAAATATTTGCGGATGAAGAAGAAAATATCTGATTTAACACAGGAAAAATTTATCGTCGTCCTCATCTTCCACCTCCAATCTTTTTAAATCCCACAGTTACTTTCTCATGTTGCTTTATGCAGATAATAATTAATTTCAGTTCTTATGGTTTCAGAGCGCATTTTCCGTAAGCATGATGCTCTTTTGTTTTTACTGCATGCCACACATTCAATTAAAAGCAGGCAATTAATAGCTTCAAGCAATAGCACCGTGAAAGAATGAGCCCTAAAATGGAGAAAATTGACATTCATTATCAGGTTCTTTTACTATTCATTATCAGGTTTTAACCATTTGCATTAGTTTTCTTGTTGCTTGTCTTTTTTCCAAATTTGGAACTAATATTTCTATTTTGACTTTAATAGGGTCATCCATAATGCCTCCTTAATGCATCATTCTAAACTTACATTGCCAGCTCAAGGTGATCTTACGAGGGAAAGAATTTTTAAGTGCATCGTTGATATTTCCTCAAAAGTGTTCTTCTATTTGGTTTATTGTTTTTAGTTTATTGTTTGGTACAAATTGCTATAGATGGGTGGTTCTTTTCACGCTAATATGTTGGATTTTTTTTATAGGCGTGGTAAGGGCAGGGAGTTGAAGCTATAGAGGGAGCGTGTCTGCTTGGATTGCATTTGTGGGCCCGATCGGGCACCTGACTGCCGCCAATTCTTTGCCCCGTCTGGATGCGTATGAGTTTCACTTTCACTTTTTGCGTGCCAATTCTTCAAAAACGAATAATTGATGCATGTTTATTGGTTATCTGTGGTCTACAAAGGTTTTATAATTTGTCTGTGTTTCTCTTTTCATTAGTCATAAGTTGCTGCTTTAGTTTAGTTTTTATTTTTTTAGTTCATTGGGAGTTTTATTGAAGTTTTAGACTCATATACAATTATTCTTTGGATGGTTATAATATTAAACTTGTATTATTCAATCAAACATAGCGACTTTGTATACATGGGAGACACTCTTAATTATTCATCCATGTACATTTTTATAATAATACGCAGTTTGTAGGTCATCCTCTCGTGGAAGATATCTCTAGAATGCACAACGGTGTAGGCGGCTCAAATAGGGTATAGTTTTTAGTTGTGGTAGCTTATTATGAGTTCTTTTATGTTCTTAAAGTTGGAAAGCTTATCTTGACCGATTTTTCCATTTTCAAAAATTATTTTACCAAAACAAATAAAGTAATAGATTGAGCCACGATGTTGACAAGTTTGTAGAGCCAACCGATGCATACAGTGATTTGTTCGACAACCTGAATTGGTGAGTTTATATGTTTTTCTTTTAAGGTAAAACCATTTAGGTTCTGATTCTGGATCCACGCGCATGGTTGAGGTGACAAAATAATTTTCTTCTTTGCCTCAATACATTTTATTTCTCCGGTATTCCATTTTCCTTATGATATGAGTCCGTGTTGCATTTATTCCTTATGATATTTCTTCAGTACTGTTTTTCAATTATATATATTAAAAGATATTCAGTTCAGTTCTTTTATGTGTGATAGAGCTATGACGGATTTCTGCATGTGTGTGTGCGTGTGAGAGGGTGTGGATTAACTAACAAAATATGCTTGTTTTGCAGTGTGGAAATAGCTAATTAGGAAAACAGGGACTTCTTTCAATGATATTTCGAGTCTCTCTCCAAGGCCATGCACAAGTAAGTCACTTTATTTCTAGCTGGTTAATTTGTTATGTAATCATTTTTCTTTTTTATTATTATCGGGGAGAGACATGGTTGTTTCGATGCTTTTATTTGTTACTTATGCCCCGCTTAAATATCAATAGTCTAATTGCTTTCTAGATTAATTAATATGATTCTTTGCAAATTTCACGCTAGAAGATATAGAGGAGGGTGTTCAAGGTATCCTTCTAATCCATATATGATTGTGTGATTGTGTAAACTTCAATTTCCTTTTGTGATGATGATTACCTTTGGCTGCATAATTTTGTACGTTGTATTATATGGAAGTGAGATTAGGAACTCCACCACTGGAGTTTAGTGTACGAATTTTGTTTGGGAGCGACATCTTGGCTGCAAGTGATATACTTCGATTAAAAAATATCTGCTTCTCTATTTTCCGTTTAAATGAGACTATAAATTTGTGAATCATTATTTGTTATGTTATGTAGAGGCTAAAATTCCTCTGAAAAGGCGCACAAAGATTTTGCTTGTGCACTCAAAGGTAAGTGCTTGTGAAATAGATAGATAGATAGATTGATAGAGATAGTGTTAACTGTAGCAGATGAAGAAAACCCAAAATTTATCAATTATGTGGTGTTGATGAGGCGGTGAATAAAACATGTTTATTGTATATTTTTGTTTTTTTCTTACGATTTATTTTGGTTCGTTTAGGTTTTCGTATCTGTTTTGCTTATTTGAATTTGGATTCTTTGCTTATGGCTTCCAAAGGTTGAGTCGTGGTGCAGGTGACTCTCTTCTATTTTCCTGTAATTTTCTCTTTTTTGTGTTCACCCAATCTAATTTTATTACTTTCTTCATTCGCAACCATTGTTTCCTTTGTTTTCTTTTTCTTCGTGTTTTCTATGTTCAATTACAGGTTAGCCCTTTTTTGGTGTTTCGGCTTCGGTTTGCTGTTGCTCTCTCTGTTCGTATACAGGTTTGCCGCTTGTTCAAGAATTATATTGATGTCTTCCAGGGAAGTTTACTTCTTATAGCTGATTTTATTCGGCCGAGTGAATTCTCAGCTGGAGTTGAGTTCGTCCACATCTGTAGACGGTGCCACTCTGACGAGTAGCTTTGCGCTTCCGACGACTTCGTTTGACGTTGGACTTCATTTGTATTTTTTCCTTACGATTTACTTCTTGTACATTATCCTTCAAAATTTTCGCTCCCTCTCTCCACCACCTCCTTATTTCCCGGCCTCCGTCGACTGGACACACGAGGCATAAATTCCGGCGGTTTTCGATTTGTGTTCTCATATTTTCCAATTTTCTCTGCGCATATTGGTGCTTTAGGGAAGTGGATGAATCGCTGCTCGATCTCAAAAGGCCTTCCCTATTTCCTTCTATGATTGTTTGTTTTGTTGAGGAATGCGGATGAAATCGCTGCTCGATCGCAAAAAGCCCTCCCTCTCTTCTATGAATATTTGTTTTCGTAGTTGGGGCTATTAGGTCTTTAATTTAAGCAACCTGGATCGTATAATTGCATTTTCAGAACTTTTGAATGCAACAAAATCGGGTGAGGAATCACACGTTCACCTCATATTCATTCTTTGTTTTCCCATTTATTACTTTCTTCTTGTTTTTCAATTTCCTATATATCAGATTACAAGAAGATTTCAAGCACTTGAAGGTATTCACAGCTTTATGTATGTCGACACTTGTAATCCGATCTTTCTCGTATTTTCATACCTCTTGGTAAAATTGAAAACCAAAAATTTGATTGTATGTCGCATAATTTTTTCAATCGTCTATCATGTTCGCGGCGTACGTTTAAGTTTTGTTTTTAGGTTTGTACTTCAGAGTAACAATTTGAATAATTACAGATTTGGTCCTTAAACAAGAAATGCACCCCAAGTGGGGGTCAATTTGTAATTTCTGGAATCCACTGAAACAGTTTTGAAAATTGCAGAATTGCCCATATACTTACTCCACTTCCCATCCATTCCACCCAAATAGCAAATTTAACACCAAAGTAGATCTCTCTTGTAATATCCGAAATATCAGCCACCAACGCAGTATGCTTCGACTCTAACTATAATTGCGCATGACTCATTTACAAATATTCGCAATACCGAGTTTAAAATCTTATGATTTACGATTCATATCTTACGATTCAATTAGTCCATTCAAATGTTAAAAATAAATCTTAAATATCGACAAAACGATCAAATTTTACGATTTACGATTTAAGAAAACAATAATTTATTATATTATTTATGATTAACGTGTTATAATTACTATTTTGGTCCCTATATTATATACCATTTTTAGTTTTAGTCCTAAAACCGGAAATGCCCCCAAGTGGAGATCAATTGGTAATTTATGAAAATCCACCTCCCTAGCTGAAGCAGTTCTGAAAATTGCATAATCACCCTGTAACAACAAATTCTTATCTCCTACGAATTCTTCTTCCTTGCTTCTTGAATTGTAGAGAGAATTTTGCTCCTACGGTTTCTGCTCCTTCAGTTGTCTTTTTGAATTGTGAAGGGAGGATCCCTATTTATAGTGGTAGAATAAGAGTCCTTGATGGGCCTTACTGATGATGTGGCGCGATTTGATTGGCCCGATTTAAATTGATATTTATCTCTTGTAACTTGGAAGAGAAGAAACAATTCTATTGGCCAATAATTAATTAATATTTATCCCTTATAATTTGGAAGAGAATAAATAATTCTACTGGTAAATATATATATTTAAAATCAATTATCTATTTAATTTAGGAATTAATTTAATTAAATCCCTAGATTTAAAATAGAAAATATGTAATTGATATTTAAATATATATACCAATATGCGGCATATAATCTTGATTTGATTTGTATTTAAATATTTAATTACGGAATTGCCATAGGCCATAGAATTTAAATAGAATTCCTTGTTTCGTAATTGCACAATGGTCCCTTTCTTTAGGATAAAATTTATTTATCTACAAATGCCCCCACGAGACTTGTTCACGGACGATGCGTCTTGAAGTGAATAAGTCACGAATATATCGAGTCGATTCGTAAATGCATTTTGGCCTTTCATGATTTAATAACCCCTCACGTGTCTATTCTTGGGCCTGTACTCTTGAGAATATATGTAATTTTGAGCGCAGCAGTCCTTTGATTAATTCGGCCCATCAATCGGTTGAAGTCCAGTAGGATGCGAACTTGAGTTGTAAACCAGGCATACACAAGTTTCTTCCAAACAAATATTTTGATAAATTAGAATAGGTCCCACTTAAGTAATTAAGTATAATTTTAATGGGCTTCGGCATCATTGACGAGAAAAGAATAAACACAATTCTACTTCAGCTAAAACTTCATATAGCATACTCAAATCCACCGAGAGTCTTTCTCCTATTCAATTTAAAACTCCTCTTTTGATTGGTTGATTCCAATCCTAGTATTAATTGGTTTTCACCCACCCATGCTTATAAAAGGATCCCCTACGCATTCTTCCATTCATCAATATTCGGTCGTCAAGTCTTCTGTAGAAGAATTTTCGGCAATATCGAATTTAGTCCTTCCTTTTTCTCTCTTTTTTTTTTTTTGGAGTCTAAATTTGTAGACGCATAAAATTAATTAATTGGTTATTTAAATTAGCCAATTAAATTGTGTCTAAATTAAATTATAATTTATCTTACAAAATAAGTTATGGAGATAATTATCAATTAATTATTGGCCAATAGGATTATTTCTTCTCTTCCAAGTTATAAGAGATAAATATCAATTTAAAGAGAGCCAATCAAATCGCGCCACGTCATCAAGTAGACTTTAAGTAGGACTCTTATTCTACCACTATAAATAGGGACCCTCTCTACACAATTCAAAAAGACAACTGAAGGAGCAGAAACCGTAGGAGCAAAATTCTCTCTACAATATTCAAGTCATTCTTCATCAAATTCTAACGTCTTCCGAGGGTCTTGCGACTTGAATCTCGGATCGAAACGCTGAACTTTGACGGGTTTTGACTTGAAGATCTTGGAGTTCTTGATGTATTTGACCCTTCAATCTTCCTTCGATCTTGATTTGTTGAAGAACGCCCTCGATTTGATGAAGAACGCCTTGAATTTGATGAAGAATGACTTGAATATTGTAGAGAGAATTTTCTCCTACGGTTTTTCTTCTTCTTGAGTTGTGTTTTGAATTGTGTAGAGAGGGTCCCTATTTATAGTGGTAGAATAAGAGTCCTACTTAAAGTCTACTTGATGACGTGGCGCGATTTGATTGGCTCTCTTTAAATTGATATTTATCTCTTATAACTTGGAAGAGAAGAAATAATCCTATTGGCCAATAATTAATTGATAATTATCTCCATAACTTATTTTGTAAGATAAATTATAATTTAATTTAGACACAATTTAATTGGCTAATTTAAATAACCAATTAATTAATTTTATGCGTCTACAAATGCCCCCTCGAGACTTGTTCACGGACAATGCATCTTGGAGTGGATGAGTCTCGATAATTGCTCAACTTTGATTGCAGCTTGATCTAGCAAAGAACATATATCTTTTGAAATCATGACTGAACTTAGAGAGATTCTAAGTTGCCTACGTACCCTATAAAGGGATCAAGTCATAACGTAGTTCAAAATATATCATTTTGAGGGATGTCGTGCACAGTTTATACTCATGTGGACAAGGAGAAACATTTGCAGTTTAAGCTCGTACTGAAGGAGCATTTGACTTGAATTTGTAGATAGTTTATGCTCGTATCAAGGAGGCTTGACTTGATTTGGACATATAGATAGTTTATGCTCGTATCGAGGAGCCTTGACTTGATTTGAATATATAGATAGTTTATGCTCGTATCGAGGAGCCTTGACTTGATTTGGATATGTAGATAGTTTATGCCCGTATCGAGGAGCCTTGACTTGATTTGGATATGTAGATAGTTTATGCTCGTATCAAGGAGCGTTGATTTGACTTGGATATGTAGATAGTTTATGCTCATATCAGGGAGTACTTCAGTTGATTTGGACTTGTAGACCTTTTAAACTCGTGTCAAGGAGTATTTCATTTGATTTGGACTTGTAAACCTTTTAAACTCGTGTCAAGGAGTGCTTCATTTGATTTGAACATGTAAACCTTTTAAACTCGTGTCAAGGAGTGTTTCACTTGATTTGTCATATTGCATAGGATGTTGTTTCTTCAAAAGACTTGCCCCCATCCTCATGATCTTCCTGTTCTTCTTCAACATGTTCTTCTTTGAGCTGATACGACTTTTGGAATGAAGGTTCTTCGACTTCATTTGCAGTTATGCTCAATTCCATATCATGTGCTCGAGTGGCCAACTCTTCAAAACTTTTAGGTTGAATTCCTTGAAGGATATATCGGAGTCCCCATTGCATTCCTTGGATGCACAGTTCAATAGCTGATGTCTCAGGCAGTTGATCATTGCAATTAAGACTCAAGTTTCTCCAACGGTTGATGTAGTCGATGACATGTTCCTTCTTCCATTGGCGGGAATTGGTGAGCTCAATCATGCTGACTGTTCTTCGAGTGCTGTAAAAGCGGTTGAGAATTTTTTCCTCTAAGTGCTTCCAACTATCAATGGAGTTTGCCCCCAAATCAATGTACCAATCAAACGCGTTGTCTTTGAGTGATCGGACGAATTGCTTGACGAGGTGATCTCCGTACGTCCCGACATCATTGCAAGTCTCGACGAAGTGTGCCACATGTTGCTTGGGGTTGCCTTTGCCATCAAATTGTTGAAACTTTGGAGGTATATAGCTCATTGGCATCTTTAGATCATCAATCCTTTGTGTGTATGGCTTGACATAGGTTGATGGCGACTTCGAGCTTCCTTCCAACTTGTCTTTGATGGCTCCACTGATCAGCGTCATCACTTGATCTACATGAATCAGCCCTTCGGGAGAAACTTGAAAATCTTGAGTTGGAGTCTTCTCGTTTTCAACTGGCTGTTGCTTTGTGGATGTCTCGACTTCGTCTTGAGCCTCTATCTGATCCACAACTTGACTAGCATCGGCTTTGTTCATATTCTCGATCAACTTGGCAATTTGAGAATCTCGTTGTTGAACATGCTTTGTGAGTCCCTCAATAGCCTTGGCCAAACTTGCAATTTGCTCTTCCATGGTTGTAGCGTTAGTTGTCATGACGGATGCCACCTCTGAGTAGCTTGATGTTGAACGAGGCGTGGGCTGTGAAGTCTCTCGTTTTGAACCTTCTACGTCTGCACTTGTGTTGACAGGAGGTGGTAAGCCCTTCTCAATGGTTTGGGGGGTTGAGCTAGTCTCGGAGGATGCTTGCACATTCTTAGCCATACTCCTTGTAAATACACCCACACTTGATGAATCCGAAGTAGCAGCCTTCATTGCGAACGTAGAGCAGTCACTGCAACACTTCGAGGAACTTCGAGAGAGAGAAGAGATGAGAGGTAGAGAAGTCCCACCGGGCGTGCCAAAATTTGTAACAACAAATTCTTATCTGCGATATAGACAAACAAGAAAAATTGAACAAAGATGATTTTATTGAATTAAAATAAATAAATTGCGGGTTACAATCTCTATTTTAATCCTCTGATTCTTCTCTCTAGAACAATATATAGTTGACTTGAATTTTCGGAGTCGGGTCGTTGACTTGATCTTCTCCGGATTTGATTTTGGATTTGAATAACGTTTTCCAAGGGTCTTGCGACTTGAATCTCGGATCGAACGTTGAACTTTGACTTGATTTGACTTGAAGATCTTGAAATTCTTGATGGATTTGGCCCTTCAATCTTCCAGTGATCTTGACTTGAATTGATTAACGTTAATCCGAAGGTTTGGCACCGTTATCTCGGATTGAATGCCGGATTTGATGAAGAATGCCTTGAATTTGCTCAAGAACACCTCGAATATGACGAAGAACACTTTGAATGTAGAGAGAGAATCTTACCTCCTACGAATTCTTCTTCCTTGCTTCTTGAATTGTAGAGAGAATTTTGCTCCTACGGTTTCTGCTCCTTCAGTTGTCTTTTTGAATTGTGAAGGGAGGATCCCTATTTATAGTGGTAGAATAAGAGTCCTTGATGGGCCTTACTGATGATGTGGCGCGATTTGATTGGCCCGATTTAAATTGATATTTATCTCTTGTAACTTGGAAGAGAAGAAACAATTCTATTGGCCAATAATTAATTAATATTTATCCCTTATAATTTGGAAGAGAATAAATAATTCTACTGGTAAATATATATATTTAAAATCAATTATCTATTTAATTTAGGAATTAATTTAATTAAATCCCTAGATTTAAAATAGAAAATATGTAATTGATATTTAAATATATATACCAATATGCGGCATATAATCTTGATTTGATTTGTATTTAAATATTTAATTACGGAATTGCCATAGGCCATAGAATTTAAATAGAATTCCTTGTTTCGTAATTGCACAATGGTCCCTTTCTTTAGGATAAAATTTATTTATCTACAAATGCCCCCACGAGACTTGTTCACGGACGATGCGTCTTGAAGTGAATAAGTCACGATAATCACTTTTATTTATTTATTTTTTTTGTTTTGTAACAAACATCTCCCAAGCTCAACACTTTCAAAATTGAGCACCTTTTGTGAGATCATTGAAATCGTAACCCATACTTAATAATAAAATTGAATGGGCCCACCCAAATCACAAGTGCGGACGGCTAGAAGCATCAGACTTCCTCATGCTTAGAACTTCTCCCATTCTTCGATCTCTTTTTTTTTTTTTTTTTTTTTTTTTTTTTTTTTTTTTTTGAAACACTCGCGCAGCAACACCGTAATTTTGAACTTCTAACTTCAACGGGTTTCTCTGCATCATAAGTTGGGAATTTTAATTTACTTCGAGTGAAACATGAGGATCGTACGATGAGAGAATTTTAATTCTATATGGGCAGTTCTCTTCCAATTCAAATCGAAGTTTAATGGGCAGTGACTCTTCTCTGCAAAATAAACACTCCTTTTCCCATTGCAATTTGGTTTCACGGACAAGTTGAACACTCCTTCTTCTATTGAGATTATGCTTTCTTTTGATTGGTTGATTAGAAACCTAAGGTTTGTGGGATTAGCTTCATCTATCCCTTATAAAAGGGGGATGCCCTCTTCGTTTTTTTTTCATTCACAAATCCAACGACCTGCCAATTATTTGCTTCTGTCTGCTACTTGTAATCGATTCCAGGTCAGTTTTGCATATAAAATATACGCATAATCAGACTCTTTGAACACGTCCGCCAGGTGTTTGATAATATGACACTAAGAACTGCTTTCTCCCCTTTTTTTTTGTTTTTTTTTTTTTTTTTTTTTTTTAATTTTTAAATTCGAGTTTTGCCCGTTTATTTTGCTCGATTGCTTATCAAAACAAAATACTGTTTTCCTTGTCCAGGTTTCGCAACTCGACAGATTTGGTATTTGATTTTAGCGCAGTTCCTTGCCCCCGTTCTTTTTCTTCCTCCTTTTTTTTTTGTCAAACTAATTGCTCTTTGTTTTGAAATTGTTTTGACAGGTTTTGCGATGGTTTGTTTCAAGCAAGCTTTCTCCTCTTCCGGCGATGAGCAATTGGTAATTCTTGACGATCGCTACCAACCGAATGACAAAGGAACCGTCTTGACGATTTATGCCCCCCTTATTGGTTCTTACGCAAAGCAATGGCCACGCCTCACGACTCCGAATCGCATGTCCGTTTGGTCCCACGAGCATCCTCATAATAAGTACGAGTACGTGTATAGCTTGCGAGCATCAAATCATAAACCCGACAGATCCTTGCTTCCGGAAGAGTCAAGCGGTCCGAGCCTTCTGCCGACTTTGGGTGACAACATCGTGAATGGAAGAGTCAAGTGGGGGGATACTCTCGAGCTTTCCGGCGGCTTTCAATTCTTCAAAGGGTACTGGGAGTGGACCGAAGACGTTCTCAGTCGTTGCCAGCACAAGCTGAAGTCCGCGAAGATCTATGATCCTGTATATGCTTCCCTCTTCACGTACGACTACAATTCCGAAATTATGAAGGCGTTCTTCGAGGCATGGTGTCCGACTACAAATACCCTCTTGACGTCTCCCGGAGAAATGTCTATCTCTTTATGGGATTTGCACATCCTCTCCGGGCTATCGTTAACCGGGCTGCTTTACGATGAAGTTGTCCCTGCCTCTCAAGAACTCGTCGGTTCCGATGCAAAGGGTGTTCGATATTCTCACCGTTCCTGCCGACATCTATTCCATGCCTACCACTTACTTCGGAAGCGCTCTAAAGATCCGTCCTCCAATGTCTCTGTCGAAAGCTGGATTCAGTTTTGGTCGAAGAAGCAGAAGAAGTACACTCAACCTCCTCCGCGCAAAGAAAAGAAAGGTGTTCGCCCCAAGTCAACTCACAATCCTTCCGGCAATATTGAAGCACATGCGAAATGGATCAACATTGAAGAAGCTGTGTTTTCGAGCATTAGCGTTCATGTCGAACTGAGGTCCGAGACGTACTTGGCGGCCCATTTGGCTTGTTGGCTTTGCACCTTCGTCCTCCCTATTGATGATGTGGGCATGATACGTCCTTCAACATTCAAGATGGCTAGCATAATGGCGAGTGGCGAAGAAGTCTCTCTTGCAGTTCCTGTCTTGGCAAGCATCTTCAATGGCATAAATAGGATTTCGAGATCCTTGAGACCCCATCAAGAGAATTCTCCGTTTCCTATTCACTTCGTCTATAGTTGGTTGGCGTTTTATTTCAAGACCCATTGTCAAGTTCCGCAAGGCGTAGCCGTCGATGGCCCAAAGATGGTATCTTATTCCGGAGAAAGAAGCGCTAGATACTACACTCCCGCGGATGCACGCAAACGGATTCACAAAGGAGATCTTATGTCTTGGACTTGCACCACGATCCCTAGGAGCGAGTCTTCTTTATATGTTGATGATGGAACAACTAAAGGGTTCGAGAGAAATTATTTCATCGCCATTCGCTCGAGCTATCTCTCCTTGCGGCGTGGTAATCGTTTCGTTATTGAGCCATATAGTCCTCATCGGTTTAGCCGTCAATTTGGGTTTTACCAAGATGTTCCGGGAGTACTTGATGAAGACGTTCGCGAGGCTTCTTTAATAGATGGACTCCGTTATTGGCGTCTATGTGTTTTGCTCGAGTCCATGTCTAAAGTGATGTTTTCCATCGTTCCTCAAAATCCGAGAAAGTTTCACACGGACGACTATAAGAGATGGTGGACTAAAGCTTACGGAACTTATCTTGAAAATAATGCTGCGAGTCTGATGAACTTGGAGTCAAGTAAGATTCCACTTGAAGACAAAGAAGATGAGGCAAGAGGTAGTCTCGACAATCTTTCTCGCGAAAATGTTCTTCAAACCAAAAATCCTCCTAGAGATATAAAGAAGAAGAACGTTTTGCCTCCTTCGGATGAGAGTGACAATAGCCATATAGAGCGTCATTGGAAAAGGCCGAAGAGGGACCCGCAATCTTCAAAACCACAAGATCTTCTTCATATTGATAACAACGTGGACAGTCATTCTCGAACAAATGACACTTTTGCTGAGAAGGTTGCACTTCATACTTTTCCCTTTGTTTTTTTTTTTTTTTTTTTATAATGATTTTTTTTTTTTTTTTTTTTTAAGTTGGAAAAGGAGATAATTGACGTTGACGATCGCGAGGAATCTCAAGCTAGTCATCACTCCACTGCCAATGCTTGCTCAACGGGTGCAGCTTCGCCGCCGACTACTTTGATGCCTGCCAGAACATCCAAGATGAAAGAGACCGCGAAAGGGTCGTACAATGGTGCTTGTTCAGTTTTTGTGGGTGAGAATTTCCTGAAAAATCACAAGCGG